CATATTAAAATTATTATCTCTCATAACTTAGATCTCAACTGTAGATATGCCTCGTCAGAATAAAGTCTTTAAAAAGTGCAAAAATGCTAGCAATAATGCCAAAATTTCTAAATTTCGTGAGCCATTAATTTCAATTGATAATCTTACCGAATATACATGGCGAAATAAAATTGTAGAATTACCAAATTTTGCTGAACAACAAAATGACAGCTTAAGTCATGTACAACTATTAATAGAAGAGCTTTCTAGTATTGAATTTGAGCAATTATTTGAACATCTTCTAAAAAAATGCACTGAAGAAAAACCCTGTCCTTCCAGATTAACATCTATTGATATTGATATGACCTCCTCCCTAGAAAATAGCTTAGAATCACCTATTCTTATGCCAATAGATAATAATGTTTCAGAATCATTAAATATTAGTAACAGCTCTTTACTTGATATTCCCAACCTTCCTAATATAGAATTATTGAATGCTAGCATCAGATCTTTACCTGAAAGTTCAAACACCTTTTCAGAATTGTTTAATAATAGCATGACAGATCTTCCTAATGCACAACTAATGACTCAAACTGTTCCTAGAGTAGAAAGAATAAAAAAAGATTTAATAAGTAAAATTAATTATATGCCTGAAAAAGAACTAGTATCTTGTTCCCAATTATTTGTCAATATTGTGTACAAGGATGGACCACATAAAGGTGAAATTTTATCACCTTATCTGCAAAAAAAAGTATCAGAGTGGGTACTTACAAATAGTGGAAAACCTAATGTTAACTCTCAAGAAATTCGATTATTAAAAGCTAATAATTCACAATTAAAAAGAAAAATAGATAAACTGACCTCTAGAGCAAAGGCCCTTGCAATCAAGCTCAGACATTCTGAAAGATCTAAAAGTACTCATGTTTCCCAAATTAGATCCATAGTTCGAAAAAAAAAAAATATTTCAGATAAAGATATTGAAAAGACAATAATTAAAAAAATTAAACAAGACAAAAAAGCCTATACACCCGAGTTTGTCTCCTTGGCTACAGATCTAAGTAATATAGGCCAAATGTCAATGTCATCTACAGTACAATGCACAAAAGAAATAATGACATTCCTTACTGGAAACTCTCCTGAATCATGGTTATCTTCTAGTACCTTATCTCGGTGGAATAAAGAGGTAGCACAAATCTCAGTACAACAAAATCTGCCCCAACTCTCTAATCAATTTGGTTCATATGGTATCATGGCAGATGAAAGTACAAGAGGAGAGAAAAAAATATTTTTAGTCTGTGTAGCATATTGGGATGAAAGAAAAAAAGAACCTATGCTTACTATTCTTAGTATGAAGGATTTGGATCGTTGCTCAGCATCTACAGTATCATCTAGTGTTGGAGAAACTATCAACATGTATTCATTAGATCCAGCTAAGTGCCAATATTGGCTTACTGATAATACAGCATATATGCCTGGATCAAAGGCAGGTGCTATAGTAGAATTTAACAAACAATATTCCACAAAAGCTATTAGAATCCCTTGTGGGTTACATGTATTACATATAGCTTCAGCAGCCTTTGATAATATGACTTTTGGAAAGAACAATTCACCTTCTGGACTTTCTTTACATCCACATCCATTTAATGTTCTTAATTTGGCACACCATCTTCACTGCAGGTATAATGAATCTAATAAAGACAATCCATTAAATATGAAAACAGATACAATTACAAAATTATATAAGGCATTAATAAACTATGATCTTAAAAGATACCAAAAGCCAATTTCTAGTTGTTGGTTGTACCAATTGACTACAGCAAAACAGTATTTAGATCGAAGAGATGCTCACCTTCAATTTTCTGAATGGTTTGTACATAAACTGGAGACAGCTAGCAATGTTCCAGAAGGTTATCTAAAAAAATGGAAAATATTTTGTGAATTTCTACAAAATGAGAGATTAAATATAGAGATCCAAGTTATGGTATGTTTTGGAGAATATTTTTACGAAAAAATAATGTTTTTTTTAATTGGTAAAGATAATCACCTTCCATGC